CAAATCATCAGTGCTCAGCTCTATTCCAGTCAGAAATCCAGATAGTATAGTCAAGCTTTTCCCCCAAATTTACTATTCCAGATCTGGGAACAATTTTTCTCCCAACTGTATTTTCTGTTCCATTTCTAGTCCCCAATGATGTTTATCTTGTACAGGAACAGCATTCTTCAGTGTGTGGCCTGTGGACCCCAGGGTATACCCAAGACTCTTCAGGGAGCTCATATGAGGTCAGAAATATTTTCATAACATTTTACTAAGACATTATTATTTGCTTTTTACACTGTGTTGACATTTTCACTGATATGAACAAAAGCACTACTAGCGGATAAAACTGCTGATAAGAATCACAATAGCATCCAATGTTTCATTTCCATGCACTTGCACTTAAAAAAAAACTGGCTAGTTTCATAGCCATTTATCTTTATAAAGTAGTGTACATTATTTTTATTAAGTTCTGACCCTTAAATATCTTCTTAATGTTCTTTGTGATGAAATGGGACATCGAACCAAAATATAATGGCTGTCTCCAGGGACAACCAATAGTATGCCGAACTAGTTATTTTTTCCCCCATGGAACAGCTGTTTTACTTGAAAGAATAAGTAACAAACTGTAGTTACTCAGACTTTGATATTTAGCAGCTATTTTTCTCCATAATGAATGAAGTGGGCTTACTTTCAAGGAAAACTGACAGCATTTGTTGCTACTGATGTAATTCAAGCTTTCAAGAGCTATTGATATTGATATAATTATTATTTGTAAATGTCTCAGCTTAAGTTTCTAATGTGGTAAATATCAATATCCCACATAAAGCAAACATAAAGGGGTTCTAAAACATGGAAGTGTCAGAACTACTGGACTAGAGCACTGCTTTGTTACCTTAATTATCCCATTTATAGTTTATCAGAGATTATTTGGATGAATAGCATGATTGTGTTTGTGTGTTCTGAGTATATATGTCTATGAAAATAACATCTGATTGACCCTGTAAGAACGGTCATGGTAAATACTGAGGTTTTAGGTCAAAGAAACAGCAAACACAGAGCATAGAAGTGAGCAAATAAATTTATTAACACATTTTTAAGAATACAGAGTGTCCTGGTAGTCATAAAATGCTATTTGAAATCCTTTTGCCCTTTTCCATAATAGGGTAGAACAAGGCAAATGGCAGGGCTAAGAAAAGATGTTTCCTAAAAAGTGGTCTGTTGTGGAGACAGCCTAAAAATGACAGTAAGCAAATGGATGAGACAAACATTAAGTCTCCATATGCCTCAGCCTTCATAAACTACATTTTTCTTCATAATCTGCATGATCCCTATTTTTAAAAATATATTTGTGATGACTAAACCTTATGCATTTTTATGAACTATTAATGCATTTCTGAATGGTCGTTTAAACAAATTGAAATGTAATATTCAAAGAGTTACAAATTTTCTTATTATTTCCTAAATATTAATATAACCATGTTACTTCATGTTTTTGGAGGTAATTTCAAATTTTCTCATTAATTATAAGGATAAAATCAGAAGAAAACATTCAAACTTGATAAATGAACTAAGAACACTTAGTGATTTTTAACTCCTGAGATCATATAAACATGTATCCATGAAAATTATTTCAAATACCTTATATTTTTGTTCTTTAAGCTTTTTTAAATTGTAGGTAATTTTTCATTAATTTTTTAAAAGGCCAGTTAGAAAACACAAAGGTTAAGTCATCAAAATTATTAAGAACAGACTTTTGTATCAGTATATAACTTTTCTAAGCCTTAGTGGTTTGGAGATTACAGTACTATCTACCTAGTGGGCTGTAAGAGGATTGAATGAAAAACAAAAACAAAAAAACAAAACAACAGGCCAGAGAAAGCACTAGCATATTTATCATGCTCAATAAGTATCTCTTGTCAATACTGACAATAAATTTGACCAGCACAAGAAATATTTGGAGACGGTTATTAATTCTAAAATCAAATTTAACTAGCTTATAATTCTTTATACACTTCCCAAACAGTATTTTTTGTACAATTTTTTATGGGTCAACAAAATTCTTAATGGGGAATTAAGAATGCATTATTACTTAAGACTCATTCAGGGATAAATATCTGTTCACTTTTCATCTTACATAAGAGAACTGGCTACCAAGTATGAGCAACATTAAATCTGTCAGAGAAATATTAGAAACTTTATAAAACTTTGCTAAACATAAATCCTTGACCTTTACTTCTCTGTTCAACACCTATAAATGGGGCATAAAGGCAGGAGCACACACAAATGAAAAGCATGTATCATTTGGGAAGGTGTAAGACATGCTAATAGAAAAGTTAATGATTTTGACTGACCAGGAGATATGTTAGTAATAAAAGACTCAATTCTTCCAGTGTGGTGGCCAATCTCTCTAGAAACACAGCATCAAGGTGCTGAAGAATCTAACAACTCTTCAAGTACATTATCATCTACATATTTATGTGTGAATGCACTCATTCCAACAGCCTTTAGTTTCTAAAGCAGCAAGTCTTCCCTACTTTGAAAATGACCTTTCCAAACTATCCTTTATAATACTGACAAAATGAAAATTCCTAAAAGGCAAATCTAATTATGTCATTCACTGTTTTTGTCTTTGAATCCATTAGTTACCACCACATATCACAGGAATTCTGGGCTTAATTGGGCACTTGTCCAGAAACAACCCAAAATATTATACCCTGCACCCATGGGTTTTTCTAAGGGCCGGGCCCAGATTATCAAAAGTTAACCTCAGAAGGTTAAGTTAGGATAAAAGTTCGAGCTAGCTAGTGATGGGAAACCCACGGGGATTACAATTGAGATGAAAAATAAAAAAAGAAAAGCAAAGCACAAAATGATGTAAAAATAAACTATTATAAAGAAAAAAAAAATTGGATTTGGTGATCAAAAGTACGAGCTAGTTTGCAAGCCCTTTGAAAACTTTGAGAATCCACTCCAAACCACACCACCTTCTCTCTTAGTGCACAGTCCCAGGGAACTCCCAAATACTTTTAAGTTCTCAAATGGAGCTGAGCTGCTGCCACTTTCCACAAGACTCAACATTAGATTCCCTTTGCCTGGAAAGTCACTCCCCACCAAACTTCCTGAGTGAACACCACGCTTCAAGTGTGCTTTCATTTATGAAATCCTTCCTAGCTCCACTACACACCTGCTCTCCTCTGTTTTACTACATTCAGTCATTAAGGTATTTAACATATTCTCATTCATATTATTAAATTTATTCCATGTCGTTCATATTTATTTTTGTCGTAATAGAGCATGAAAAAAAGACCATTTTTTAAAAAGTTACATTTTTTTTAATTGAGGTAATGTTGGTTTACAACACTGTACATGTTTTTGAGGTACAGGTTCACACCACTTCAAATGCATACTACACTCACTACCAAAAAGATCATGTTTATTCATGTTTACATGGTAGTACTTATAACAGGTATGCAAATTATTTGTTAAATAGTCACTACACCATTAACAAGTGTAGTCTTTTCATAAAGTCTTGTAATAAGCTGTTAGAACTGAAACTTATCTTTCCTTGATACGTTTAAAAAGGATATTTAAAGTGTATATCATACTTATCATTACTAGTAAACTTTTTCACTAACTTTTTAAAAATATTAAGGAAAAAAGTACTTTTGTTTTCAACTGGCAAATATAACAATGAAAGACCTTACTTTAAGTGGAAAATTATAATCCTCAACTAGATTAAATATACAAGGTTTAGAAGGTATTTTCCTAGCTTTTATATTTGATTGGCCCAGTTAAACTTATATTCTTCCTGTGATTTTTAATGTTTATACTGAATTATTTTCCTTTTACTTTAACCTGGACCCTCGTTTAAAAAACCGTAAGTATTTAGGTATCTTTAAAATAGATTATTAACGTAAAGTCATTTTTTTCAGTTTTCAGGAAATATCAAAATACCCAAAATTTGGGGGTAAGGTAAAGAACTTTGGGTGTGGGCAGGAAATCAGAGTACACACCAGAAAATTTGAATTTCTGTTACTTTTAAAAAGTAGCTTTAAAAACTTTCTCAGTGAATCTCAAAAGGGAAACCGGAAACCGCGGCTTTATCACTAAAATACAGGATTAACGAATTAAGTATGTAAATGCTACTGTCTATAAAATACAACATGCCTGCACACTGGCCGGATGCCAGCTGTCTGTTGATACAGGCCTGAAAATGGGCCCTGAAATTTTAAGAAAACCTGCAGTGTCACAAACTCCAAGTGATCATTACCAAGGTGAATGAATTAGTAAGTGTCCTTTGATGTTTATAGTTTGAGAGTTCCCAGGAAAAGACTAAAAGCAGGATGTTAGCTGGCAACACCTTCAACAAACGACGTGGATCAGTGAATCACAGTGGCCGCGTTTTGTTTAAAAGACCTTTTCCCCCACCCCACCCGTATACCCGTGCGCTTTCAGACCCACATGTATCTTTTCCCCTTTTAACCCGGACCCAATCTCAAAACTAATTTAAGAAGCGACTTGTGCTTCAGATCACTTCGACAAAGCACAAGCAGCTTTCGAGGGAGGGCGGCCTCAAGTCAGTAGGGCAGAAATGCATGCTCGGGCCTCTTCCAGGCAGCGCCCGCCTCTCCGACCCCCCGGGTTTCGGTTAGACCGCCACAGGAAGCTTTCCCTTCCCCTGCGGGGAGCTGTGAAGCCAATGCGAAATTTGATCTCCATTCCCACCCGGCACTCGGAGGTGATTTTCTGAGTGGGAGGGCGGGTCTGCCCGGGACGGCGGCAGCCGGGGGACTCGTGATTCGACGCCGATCGCGACGTCTCCGCCCCACGCGACCCGGGCCGCGGCCTCCCGTCCCGTTTCCCCCGGTCCCGTCAGATCCCCGCGAGAGGCGACCCCGGCCAGCGCCGGCCAGGTCGCGCCCCGGACCCGGGCCCCTGGCTCCCCCGCCGAGGGTGCCGGCGAGGGAGCGGGCGCAGCGGCGCGACTCCGGGCCTCGCCGGCGGGCTGCACTCACCCACTCGAGAACCTTGATGAAGCCCAGCGGCTCCTTGAGCGGGTTGAGGTTGAGCTGGAAGGAGGACATTCTCTGAGGGAAGGAGGGAGAAAGAGTCAGGACGGTGGGGTGGAGGAGGAGGGGACCGACGAGATCGATCAGCCCGGCGGCGAGGAAGGGCAGGCGGGACGGGCTGACTGTGGGGGGTGGACCCGGGTGGCCGCGGGGCGGGGCGGGGCGGGGCGGCGGCGGTTAAGCAGCTCGCCTAGGCTCTAGGGCGGAGACGAAGAGAAGCGGCCCCGGGAGGCAAGGGGCGGGCCGGGGCTGGGAAGGGGAGGCGCCTCCCCCGGCCACACCTGGCCGAGCCGGCTAATCCGCTGGCGAACCAAGTAGATGTTGGACGCCATGTTGCGTGCGCCGCGCCCCCTTGCCTGAAGTCCAGCCCCTGGCGCGCCGGCTCTTCTCGCGCATGCGCACGTCCGCACCCGCGCAGCACACGCACACCCTTCTGCGCTTGCGCAACTGGGGTGGCTTGGGTGGAGCAGACTTCCGCCAATCTCGACAGCAGCTATTCCGACAGCTTCCCTTCCCAGCCCCAACTTTTAGAGAAATGTGTGAAATATTAACACGGATGAAACCCCGTGTCAAGGCAAGTGTTAGGGAGCTTTGTATTAAAATGGTGAAAAGTTACTACAGCGCTGCCAACTTTGGGCTTCCACGCTGTAGTGTATCTCTGAAGTGTGACTCACCGAACATGATTAAGGGAATTAAGATGCTCCAATTATCATTGGAGGATGCATCGTGCTCCCTGGGCACCTCGTGAACACTGATGAAGAAGCTGGGGGTGCTCAGAGCTAGATCAGCTACGCAGCCTTGGACCCTAGTGCATTTGAGAGCACCTGAGCAGTACTCAGTCTTCCTGCTTTCTCCGTTTCCCCTTCTCAGCTCTGTTTCTACATCTTTTTTCTTGGCACCCAGTTATTGGAGCCCCAAGGTAATGAATTCCTCACTGACCTCCTTGAGATTCTTTTTTCTTAAATTTAAATATTTATGCATACAAGAACTGGGGTACAGGCCCAAGGTATAGAAGTTGTGAGGATTCACCAGAAATAGGGGGGTGCAAAACAGGCAGGTTGACTGAAATACACGAGCAGCAGGGTCACAGGAGAGGTCTGCTGCGCCATGTGGGTCACTTCCCTGCCTGGGGATGGAACTCGGCTGCAGTGCCTGCAGATAGCTTCATGGTGCTACCCTTTAACCCCTGTGCCACCACGGAGGGCCCTTCTTGGTATTCTTACTTTGTAATCTTTTAAGTTTGTTTTTCTAAACGTTGACTCCCATTCTGTTGAGGCCTTTTGCGTGGACACCTGTTGGGTGGGTTGCAGTAGTAGTACTGCTGGACTCCGGCTGCATATTAACAGACTTACATTGGCTTCTTAGTTATTTTTCTAAATGAAATATACAGACAGATTGAAATAGTGATTAGTTTGTAGTTATTCTCACTTTAAAAATCCAGAATATGGCAAATTAATAGAATTTTCATATTTCTTCACTTTTTTCACTTGTGTGAATTTTCTCAACTTCTGAGAAGCTTGACTTTGGATTGTCTATCCTCACTTTCTCTCTTGCTCTGTTTCAAGCTCATCAGTGGAAGGTATGGTTATTGTTTCTATCCAGGAAACCTATAGCTCTAGAAAATGTATCTTGGACTTTGAGAAGTTCTCTTCTTGGCCATCTGCCACTAGTTCTCAATTTAGGGTGACCAGAAGAATACTATCACTTGTGAGAACTCATTCATAGGATCTGACTGAACAAAACAAAGTAGGAGTGACCTACTTCAGCCACAACTAGCATAGCATTGTTTTTGCCAGTCAGCTGAGCCCAAGGGAGTGCCAACCTCCCTAAGGAGGAGCTGGAAATGATTGGCAGAGCAAATGAGGTCTAATTAAGCAGCCAGATAGTTGTGGGTTTTTTTTTTTAATCCTCAAAAAATAATACAATTTAAACATTAGCATCTCACTAAAGGCACAACTATTCAAAACCTGGGAAGAATGTTCAGAAGACTGACACATTGACTATATTGTGAAATTGGCTGGTCATTTTCTGATTTGTCTTCAAATCTAAGGAAAGAATCAGAAACTCTGGGCACAACATGCTATTTTCTCTACCAGGGCTGTTATAGAAAGTCATATTTGTAATGCAGAATTGTCTTTCTGAGGTAGTATTGTTGGTCCTGTTTGTGCTTTTTCTATTGAACTTCATTAAGCCTAACTATAGCTAGGTTACCTACATAATTTGACACTGTTTTACTTTCTCTTTGCTGTTTATAAAACACGTGCCAGGTTAGAGTACTTTGGGTTTAAGGATGTAGAAAAGGACAGAGGAAGTCGTGTTTAAGGAAATCACATGATTGGCTAATTATAACATTCTTTTATGTTTCTCAGAGGTAATGCAAAGTTCCGGTCATTTTATTGGGAAGATGAGACTTTTTAAGTAATTCTTAACCAGTATTTGTCTTTTTTTCTGAAAAGATAATGTTGGCTACAGATGAGTGCAAAACCAGGGTTTGCCTATAACTCAAACACATTTTTTTACCCTGAAGAATGCAACATTTTAGAGAAATATAAAAATTACTCTCAACATATTTAAATTGTGCAGGAGATTGATTCAATGGGCCAAATAAATTAATCTCAAAATAAGCTGAGGTCTTCTCAAATTGACTTTTAATTAAAATTTTTTTATTTGTAAAATAATTGCAGAATACAAAGTTTCCCTACATGCTAACATCTTCAGTAACTAAGAAAACAATTGTCAAAACAAAGAAATTGACATTAGTATATTACTATTAGCTAAACTACAGAATTTTTTTTTTTAAAGATTTATATATTTGTGCATACAGAATTGGGGTACAGGCCAGAGGCTCAGGGGCGGCGAGAGGCTTCACCAGAGACAAAGTGGAGAGCAGAACAGGCAGATCGATGAAGTACACTGCTGAGGGGAGCAGCGGGCGGGTCAGGAGAGGTCTGCCACGCCATGTGGTCACCTCCGGGGCAGGCGGGAACCGAACTCATGCGGAAGCGGCTTTAGATTCTCAGTGCTGGGCTTTAACCCGCTGTGCCACCAGGGAGGGCCTAAACTACAGAATTTTTTTATACTTTACCAGTTGCTCACTAATGTGTTTTTACTGTTTTACTGTTTTAAAATTCAGTATAGGACACCATGTTTAATTTAATGAGATCTTTTTTTGAAAGGGTGTTCAGAAGTGGAGGGAAACATGGAAGACAAAACAGTTTTTCATTCTGTTGAACACTGAACAAAATGCATGAGAAGGATTCAGTACTGTGTGTGGTACATTGCCTTGCTCTCAATACCTCCCTGCTCTGTGGCTGCTGCCTGGGTGTTAGGACTTGCCTCATCTTCCCTTCTTTAGGGTTTGGTATCTAGATTTTTGACTGTGATTTGCTGCCTCATAGATTGATGCAGGGTCAAATACCTGGACTCCACCACCCCTTACACTAAGTTTCTGGAGAACAAGGGAGCCACTTTGACATTCTGCAGCCCCTTAGCAGCATGGTGCTGCTTAAGAGTGGGCTGTGTTTACAATCCTGCTTTATTTTATTTTTTTGAAAGATGTATTTATTTATGCATACAAGAACTGGGTGTAGGCCAGAGGTGGTGGGAGTAAGAGGATTCACCAGAGACAGAGTGGGGAGCAGAACAGGCGGATCTACTGCAATGCACCGCTGAGGGGAGCAGTGGGCAAGACAGGAGAGGTGTGCTGCGCCACGTGTGTTAGCTCCCCAGCCAGGATCTAACTTGCTTCAGTGGCTGCTGATAGCTTCATAGTGCTGAGACTTAACCCCTTGTGCCACCAGAGAGGCCCCAGAATTGTGCCTTAAGCCTGCAGCCTCTACTTTGTGACCTTCAAGCAAGGAATTTAACCTTGCAAAGTTTCCATGCTTTCATTCCCATTTTCAGAGAGGAAATGAGAGTTGTAATAAGGTTTAAATTTTATAATTTTTAGAGGCAAGAGCATGGTACAAAATAAGCATTTAATAAATGCTACCTGTTAGTATTGTGTGCCCTAGAATAATGGGTAGAAATCAGTCTCTAAGATTATTCTGTTGTAAAAGGAAGGAAATATGAAAATGGGATGAAGGTTCTAGAAAGCAAAGAAAATGCAATTTTCCAATACTAAATATTATGGAGGACAAAGGTAAACTAATCTGCATGGGTCCAATTTTTATCTCTGTTGCTGAAATGATGTAGTTCTCACCATTTTAATCTTTAGCTCATATTTAAGCTATGAATAAATTGGGAAAATGCTATAAAATTTATAGAGGTTAATTTCATAATGATCATCACAAGAATTGTAATTAGGTTTCTGAAGAAAAATTATTTATTGTAAAATAATAATATAACTTGGAGTCTGTATAGTGTTTTCATTTTTCAGAAACCTTTCAGAGTCATTTTATGATCCTTGAGTTAAAGGAGGGCATAGAAATAATGATCCACATTTTTGCTGAGAGGGAAGCTTAGAGGCAGGAAAGTTATCCTAGAGGATGTGACACAGCACTGAAGCTTGAGCTTCAATGATATTGTTACACCCCTCATGTGCAACGGGCTGCCTGACTGGGTCCTCACCCATGCACTTAAAGGGAATATAAGGAGACTCAAATGCAGGCACACTCAAAAAGGTCAACAAAGGGTTCAGTTACAAAAAAGGAGAAAAGAATAACTCAGGGAAAAAGAAAGGAAGATAATTAGTAAATGTGTCTTACCAGTTCCACTGACCTGGAACTCCAAGAGCATGCTGACAGCTGGCAAAAGGCCAAGAGGCCAAGAGACCCCCCCACCCCCCAAAGGCCCACATGTCTGGTTTTGTGTCACACCTGGCTGCTTAACTCCACCCTCAGGTCCCAGCAATGCTCCCTTTAGTGATCATGGGATTTGTTGTTCAGGTGTCTGGCGTGGGAGTGGAGTCCACAAACTGTATATTCGTAGAGTCCGATCAGGACATCTTTTCCCCCTAATATGAAGGAAGTTCCCAGGTAGATGTGCACTCCTAGTAGAGGTGCAGCAGACCATAAAATGAGGTGGTAGGGGAGAGGAAAGCTGTTTCGTAGGAATGCAAACTTCAGTCTCTCTGATGCTTTGAATCAGGGAGCACTGTAAAGGCAGGGCAGGCTAGGAGTTTGGACTTTATTCTC